GCCTCATGGGCATAATCATATTACTGAAAACTCTTTAAAGGAAATACAACACAGATCAAAATAGGATATATATCTGTGTTAGCATAATATATTGGCACATAAAATGCAACATTATTTCTCACAAAAAGGAAATGTATATATCTGGAGCACACATGTTGGAAAGTATTTCTTGAGAACAGAATATTAACTACTTTACAACAGTATTATTACAGCCTGCACACATTCTTCCAGGAGAATAAAGTATCTGCTTAGTATAGATTGTTTTCAACTACTGAACTAATCTATCAACTTCAGACCATTTTTCCTCACTGAAAAACAATTTTCTGCAGAACATGTTTACAGGAAGTGAATAAACACTGGGTGTAAGGCATATAAATACAGCACTCCTTGGTTTAATTTAAGCAGGTGAGCTTGGCTATTATGCCAACTCAGACAGAGGCAAACACAAGCAAAATGAGCTCATTCCCGTTACGAGGATGGCGTGACCTTCAGTGCTTCACTTGTAACCCAAGTGAGTTAAGTATGAACTCTATATTTAGGTGCATAGTTTGGATGAAAGAAATGCTTTTCAAATGTACAAAGCATGATTTAGATGCCAGCAAGAGTGCATGAAGTATGTCCCCAGAACCTTATGCTCATCCTAGCAAAGGAGCTGTGCAGACAACCCAGAAGTGTGATGCTATACTCACCGAAATAAGACTTTCAGCTAGACTCCACACACTAAATAGAGTCTAACAAATGTGTCATCCCAGCAATGCAAGACAGCCTTTGTCTATTTCTTCCTCCTCCTTGCATTCATGCCTGAGACTGATTCAATGAAAGACGGTGTTATTGGAGTACACTGGACTCCTTAAAGGATAGATGAACAATACTGTTACTGTAGAAGCAACATACCAAAGGCAACAGTGACATGTCATCTTTTGGTAACATATTTCTTCCATGAACTTTTTAAGTTAGGAGATTCAAACCCTGGAAAATCTTTCCTTTAAGATAGTCACTCAAAAGATACTTGATGAGACTTGTGTATCCTAAGAAGTTTATCTTAACAGTCCTGCTAACAGCAAATTATGAGACACAGATGGAATTCCCACGCACTTTGAGTGGCAGCAAGCATACTTGATTTAGCATGCCCTCATATAGACCCTTAAATAATGAACAGAATATACTGAAGGACATAATGTATCATTAGCAGAATAAGGATTCATGAATCGATATATCTATTTCTGAATAGTACCATAGAGTATATGATGGATGGAGCCACAATATGGAGCTAAGGAGAGACTGAGGGGATTTCTCTGAAAACCTGAAGGAAGTCCCAGGTTTGCATAAAAATCTGAAATGCAAAAAAACAAACAAAACCCAGATTAAAACCCCCACCAAATAAACTCTCAATGGCTGTTGGGGGGTTGCTTGGCATCCACAATATTACCAAGCCTCCCAAGTCTTGGTTTGTGTAAAGCGAAGCCATTGGCGGGAGGAGGCTAAGACAGTCATGGAAAAGGTCACACCTTGCTCCACAGCCACCTCGCTATGAGAGAGGAGGACTCACTGGAAACAGGCCAGCAGTGACGACTAAAGGTACCATTCCCCCAGGTGTGGGGTGGGGATCCCCTGCTTTTGTGGGCTCCTGCCCACCCTGATGCTGTATGTGATGTGCTGATGTCACCTGGAAGAGACTTCAGTGCATCGGTGATGTCAGGGGCGATGCTCTGCTTTTTGGGCAGAACTCTCCATTTTGAGGCTGTTTTTGCCATAGGGTTTTGCCCAAAAAGCAGAGCGTCAACCCCAATGTGCTGACGTCACTTCTGGTTAACATCAGCACATTGCACAACTGATGCTCCCTCTAAGCTGCGGAGTCTTGTGAGCAAAAATTCTACTTTGTGAGCTACTGGCATTAAAGTTGTGAGCGAGTAATTTGGCTACTGCATAAATTAATTTGCTCTGGAAACAGAGGCTAAAAAACTGTGAGCTACCTCACACTAACTCAGGTTAGAGGGAATACTGCGCGCAATGTCCCCACCCACCCCTGGAACGCCCCTTAAATCCCTCTGTAAGCATAACGTGGGGACCTGGCAACCCTAGTGACTACTGGAAACTCACTACCCACACAACTTGGACTGGCCTGGCCTAGCCCAGTGGCAGGTACAAGTCAAGCTAACCTGGTGGTGGCCACCATGCAACTCAAGACGTTTCCTGGGGAAAGCCTGCCAGGGCAGGAACAAAAGAAACACTGAAGACACTGGGCAGATAAGACACTGGGCAAATAAAGGTAATTTGGTGGGTGAGAAGGAGAAAAGAAAGCAGGCCCAGCAGCAACTGGCCCCAGCATGGTGTTAGTAGTGGCCATTTCACAACTGGGATTAGCCTGGCCCACTATTGGTGGCCACGACACATCTGGTACCTGGCTAGCACTGGAGGCTATCATGCAACTGGCCTCGGTTTAGACAGTACTACATAGCTTGGCCATAGTTTTCCTGAGGAGAAGCTGCCAGGGGAACAAAGGCAGGAAAGCTGAAGATAGGATGGCTGGTAGGTGGGGAAGCAAAAAGGAAGTAGGAAAGGGGGAAAGGGGCTGTGGGGGCTGCATGGGAAGGTAAAGAGGAAGTTGTGGAGGAAGGAGATACAGTGGAAAATGAGATGCCTCATGCAAATCGAGCCTCCACCCCCATTTATTTCATATAGAATTCTAATCTCCTCCCCTGCCCTTTTCTTCTTTCTTTCTTGTTCATGTTCTAATTTAGGATTGGAGTCACACAGGGTGAGAAAGAAAATCTATGTACTGCAAGGAGAGAGTTAATGGGATTATGATGTACCCCTTCCACTTCCCTCCCTCAGAGGCT